TTCAGGGTTTAGCGTTTAGGGTTGGTGATCGGAATGAGGTTGTGCAAGGCTAGAGCGGGCGAGAGAAGGTCTAATAGAGCTGTAGAGGCCTTGATACTTAATGTAGGGGGCTGAATAATTAGAATAGAGTTTTGGGGTAGATCATCGATCATACTATATGTATAATAAGGGGCCCCCCAAATAGTATAGGTAATCATCATTAAGCATCCGAAGGAATCGCATCGCGAAGCCTGGCCCTTGTGTTCGGTTTTGGGTGCGGGCTCTCTTGCGACGGCATGGTATGTTTTGGCTGTTGGGTGTTCAGGGCTTGACAAACTCTGTCCTTATTTCTGGATTTCGGGATTTTGGGGTTCAAGGTTTGTGGGGTGTTGTGGTTTACATGGCCGTAAACCCCAAACGCCCTAGACCCTATTGGGGAGGCGAGCTCAGGGCAGGGGTCCGTGTTTCTGGGTGCTTGCGAAGGAGCTTCATTTCCAGTCGAGATCATCGGTTATTACCGACAATAGGTTACGATGATCTCCTTGTTTCAGTAACTTCCACCAAACCCGCCCCCAACACGTACGCCCAGCATCAGCCATAAAGGGTAGCTCAAGACTCAACCGAAATGTAATGTTCTTACAACTTGCGGGACCAGCGGCCCAGAAGTGGGAGTCTTCACAATAAGAGGACACATGATAGACAATGTATACGAATCCCTCAACCCTAAACGCTAAACCCCTAAACCCTACACCCTTTGATAGACACTGTAGGAATCCCTCAACCCTAAACACCTAAACCCTACACCTTTTGATAGACACTGTAGGAATCCCTTGATCTTCCAAGACTTCCGAGCTACCAAATCCATAGGGTAGATGATACTATAATCAAAATAGGGACCCCCCCCTAAACCCTAAACCCTATAATACATCCTAAACCCTAAACCCTAAACCCTGAATATGCACTGAACCCTAAACCCTAAACCCTGAACCCTGAACCCTAAACCACTCAGACCCGAAGTCCTCGAAGCCTTTGAGCCACAAACCCTGAAACACCCAACAGCCTAAAGCCCTGAAGCCCGTGAAACAGGGCTTAGGGTTTAGGGCTGAAGCCCGTGAAACTGATACCCCTGAACCCTGAACCCTAAATCCCGAAATCCTGCTAACCGCAGTCACAAAGCGCATGGAGCTAGGGGCGAGGTTTCTTACTTTCCGGACTTAGACTGTTTCGGGCTCTGCGGCTATTCTGCTATTTCTAATCACTTCTAGTCTTGCCCTTGTGACATTTCACTTGTAATCGCTATTGTTGTTACTAATCGTGGCAGTACCACCAATCTTATCCCCAGTATTGTTATTGTTTCGAATGGGCTTCTCGGCTGTTGCTGTTGCTGTTGTTGTTGTTGTTGCTGCTGCTGCTGCTGCTGCTGGTTTTGCTATTACCATTCTGACAGATAACCGATATCTGTTGCTGCTGTTGTTGCTGCAGGTAAGACTATACAGTATCACCATCAAACCCTAAACCCTAAACCGGTCTTGATACGTAAGCTAGGGTTTTGGAGTCTGATGTCCTATAGATAGTTACACATAAGGTTTTTTCAAGATATGTGCTGACATTTAATCAGTCGTCTATCTATCTACCTATCTACCTATCTATCGACCTATCTACCTATCTATCTACCTATCTATCTACCTACCTACCTATCTATCTATCGATCTATCTACCTATCTATCGATCTATCTATCTATGTAGGTGCATATATGTATATACATACATCATACATCCATCCATCCATCCATCCATCCATCCATCCATCCATCCATACATACATACATACATACATACATACATACACACATACACACATACATACATATACACACACATACACACACGCCTCTACAATACCCCGTAGAGTAACCCGGTACAGTGACCCCATTCTTTCAGCCCCGGGGAGTACACCGAGGCTCGTTGGAGATATCCAGGCCCAGCTTAATCCAGCTGGAGGTGTCTGCATCAGCTTCCAGGTTGCTGTGGCCGAGGGACCATAAGGCACCTCTTTTTGAAAATCCCAAAAAAGGGCTCCTTGAAGGAATACAGTAAGGGCTCCCTTAAGAAGGGCTGCCTGTAGAGCTCTTATCCCGACACCCTGAAGCTTTGGGGTTTAGCCCTTCGGGTTTCGAAGGACCTCTACGGAGGATCCTCTGGGGACTTCTTCATGAGGCTTCTGTCGGGATCCCTTTCTCGGTTTTGGGCTTAGGGCTCTAGGGTTCTAGAAGGGTTCCCAGGGTTGAATGAAGCTCTAGGGCAGGGTCAGGATTTTTCAGGGCTGCGTGTCCCGAATCTTACTGTTTCAGCGTTTACGGCTCCAGAGCTTTGGGGTTTGAAGACTTTCGGGCTCCATGCGCTCATGGTAGGAGCACCAGTTAAGAGAAGGAAGTTTGGGTGTGTTTGGGCTCACGGAGCTTTGCGCTGTAGGCCGGGGGGTAGAATTAAACTGGCATGTGCCAGGCGTGCCTCAGGATTTAGGGAAATGGATGCAGATGCTCCTGAACCCTGAACCTTTGATCTTTGTGTACCGCTGTATTTCTTGAGCTCAGGATCACAGAATGCCGACAGCTTCGACGCGTGGAGACACTGGAAGATACGAACCGACGGTGCGTGACAAGCAGCAGAATAGCTAGGGGCCTTAATGGTTAGAATATGTTAGAACAGGGCTTTATAGGGTCCTTGGCAGTATAGTGACCCCAAACTATGAGGGGATACTCTGGCTGCTAGGAATCTATGAATCTAAAGGCCTTCCGTTCTCATCCCCGCACTGCGTACATCTGCGCCTACCGGTGGAAAGGGCTCTCCAACTATTCGGGGCCTAAAAAATGGCGTGAATATATTTGGTAGTACCATCCTCTTTGGGTCTTTGGGTTTGCCAATATCATGTGTTTAGTGTCGAGACAGCCAACACCCAAGTCTGAGCACGGAGGCAAACCACACCAAAGCCTACATGCGGTTGCAAGGCACAGGCGGAGATGTGCGAGAAGACAAGTGGAAGCATGACGAGCTGGAAGAGCCACCATGCGGAAGAAACCACCGAAGACTTCCTGAAGAGCAATCCGTGTCAGGTGTCTTGCCGTCGTGTTCCGTTGAGACAAAGTGGCGGGTCGACGTGTAGTCTATATCATTGGCCTTACTATATATTTTCTATTGGGACCTCTAGAAAAGAGATGAAAAGAGTGTTGTCCTCAGACCTCGCTTCTGGGGCCTTAATTTAAAAAACAGCACTGCAGGGACTTGTATTTTCGGGCCATCTTGTTGGCGTAACCTGATCACAGCCGAAAGACGCGGAATGGTGTCAGTTGAAAAAAGGGATCCTTCCTACAAGGCGTTTGCAGTGGTGATGACTTGCCTATCAATAAAGGAAGCCTTATTCGGAGGTCTCCAAAATACGGCACCCCTGCACTCAAATCCCTAAACCCTGAGGTCCCAAAGTGAAAAGACGTTTTTAAGCCCGAAGCCCTAAACCCTAGAACCCTAAACTCCCTGTGAAGCCATGATATGCCATGATGCCGGGGCCCGGAGTTTGGTTTAGGGGTCAATGCCTAAACCCTCTTTAAGTGTTCCCGGTTTCCGGGCAAACCCCGAAACCCTGAAGCTAAACCCCGAAGCCGAGGGGCTGTTAGGCGTTTATAGGTTGAGGGCTTGCTCTTGCTGCTGCGCCCGTCGGACTCTGGAGCTCAGGACACCCAGTTCTCCCTTAAAGGTACCCTTCAACGGTTCCTTTGAAGGATCCTTTTAAGGGGTTACTTCAAAGGCACCCTTTGTGGTTTAGTGTCAGGGATGAGGAGCCGCTGTAATGTTCCTGTTCTTTGTTGATGGGTTTGCCCAGGCCCACGTCTGAGTCTCGTCTGTTGATGACAATGAGAATCAAACTTCAGGATTTCGAGGCGTGGACTTTTTGGAGTTACTGGAACCCTAAACCCTAAACCCCTGAAGCCAAAAACAGTTAAACCCGAAACCCCAAACCCTAAACCCTGAACTGGAAGCTTGCGGTTTCGGATTTGGGGCATGGGGGTTCAGGATTTGGTGTTTGGAGTCGAGGGTTTAACCTTATTAAAAACCCTACAAGCCTTAAACCATCTTAAACCCCCTAAAGTCCTGAAGCCTGTTCAGGTTTAGACGTCTGGGGCTCAACTTAAACCTTGGCTACACCTAAACCCCCAGACGAATAGTTAGAACGGGGTTTTGGGGGGTTTCTTATTATAGTTATAGTATAATATCCCCAAAACCCTATTCTAATTATTAAGGCCCCTGCACTGTCGCTAGATACTTTCGCCTATGCACCATTCTACGGCAAACCCTAAACCCTAAACCCTGAACCCTAAACCCTGAATCCCAAACCCAGGCAAGGCTCATGTTGGCTTCCAGCCGCTTGAGTAAGGTGTAGGCCCCCCGAATTCGGAAGCTGCGCAGCAGAGGAGATAAGCCCATCATCCTTGGGGCTCGTTTTAGGGGTTAGGGATTCGGGTTCAGGGCTTAGGGTTTAGGGTTTCTGATTCCAGTCTCGTGAGGTTCAGGGCACAGGGTGCCGGGTTTCAGGCTCAAGGCGTGACGGTTTAGGGCTTTCAGTGCGGTTAGATTGCTCAGTTGGTGGACCCTTGGAGTTTGAGATGTTCGGGCTTCAAGCTTCAATCCTCTTCGTCCAAGCTTCAGATCGTGGAAGGAGTCATGGAAGATGGAAATTCATGCATGCTGAACTCTTGGTCGCCGAATACGGCGGCCTAAACCCTTATAAACACCAAAACACTTCAACCGTCCAACATGACAGATTTCGGCTGTTGGAACCAAAAGTCCGAGGTGTAGGCTTTACCAGAAATCTCTGGACGTTTTGCTGCTTCTCATAACTGGCTAGATCTTCTAATTTGGAGGCTTTCAACTTTTGGAACTGGAGCCATTGGAACTCCGAACTTGTTCGCCAGTGGCTCCACATGCGTCGTAGGGGTCTGTCCATATATGTATACATGTATATGTATATGCACAGTATATGTGGATGTATGTATGTATGCATGCATGCATGCATGTATGTTGGCATGTGTGCACCCATGAATGTATGGATGCTCTAGTTTTTTGCACATATAAACGTGTGTACATGAGTGTGTGTGTGTGTGTGTGCGTGTGCATGTACGCATGTATGTGCAAAGACTAGAATGGAGCCCAATGCCCTATGATAACCAATTAAGGGTCCCTACACTATAGAACCCCTTACAGTAACCCTTCTAGTAACCCTTATACCAAACCCTTCAAAGAGCCCCATCTTCTGCTCACGTTGCTGGCCCACTTCTGCCCAAGGAACCTCAGGGGCCAGAAGCCGTAGGTGTGTGGGTCGACCACCAGGAGCCTGAGATCAGGTCTTGTCCCGATGCTTCTACCAGGGTTTCTTCTAGGAAACCTAGGTAGGAGCCTTAGATCAGATCTTGTCACTGAAAATTATAGCTCAACCCTCAACCCTAAACCCGAAAAGCGCCCTGTTTTGCAGTAACATGTCAACCCTTGAACCCCTAAAGCACACAGACAGGCTAAGACCTAACGTGAAGAGCTCAGTCAGACCCTCTAAAAACAATCGAAGGTAAGACTTCAAGTTAAACTTCTTCAGACCATCCGAAAACAGGTCGCAGTTGACTTCAAGTGAAGTTCCCTCCAGTCACTACTAGTAGGGGTTTGCAAAGCTGGCAAACCACTTGCCTTTTTGAACCCCAAGGTTTGAAACCGGATCACATACAAGTCAAGACGGGTAGAGGCACATCAAAACCAACTTTGACAAACAATGTTAAGTTGAGACAACACCTGTATGACAGAAGACACCACTTGAAGATGCCGACGTCAAGACACAAACCAGCAAAACAGAGACTTTCGAACTATAAGCGTCGCCTTAAGCATCGCTTTGCGAGCTTTGAAAGGCTTTAAACAATTTGCAAAGCCTTTGCCAAGGCAAAACGACAGTGAAGGATATTGAGAAGCTTGAACATGAATTGAATATCTTCGGTAGGGGGGTAGCGGAGGAGTCTTCCACTGCTTGCCCCTGGATGAGGAAGCGAGCGGGCCCGCCGCAAAACGGTGGCGAGTAAGTCTAAGAAGATTGTCCCGCTTTTGTACCGCAATTCTAACCACGTCTTCGATATTCAACAATAAGATGCTCGGGTCATGTCACAAGTCTAGGCATGTCTTGGAAGATGCAAAAACATCTGTCGGCGGGCACCGCATGTTTAAACTGCAGACAAGATCCAATAAGATGGGGGTAGACCAATTGTGGCTGTGGACCAAGAGTACGAAGTCGCAAGCGAATGAACGCATAAAGATAGGCAAGACAACCAACTGAGTGGCATACACGCAAACGGAGACACATAGAGACAATGAAAGGCACCAACTGACAAATGGAGGCAAGTAGAGGCAAAGAAAGACAAATTGAGACGACACGAAGACGAGACATGATAAAAGGTGATGAAACCAGATTGAACAAACAAAAAATATATGTATATGTATATATATAT